TAACCACTGTATGTCCTTTGGTTCCATTAGTAGACATCAATAAATGTCCTTCATTCATCCCAGAGAACCTAAATCTATACTTCTTTATTAATATTCTTCAAGGGCGGACTAATGGCCTAATCCTTCATTCGTCGACCAACAGCTTCTCAGCTGTCACGCCACAAGTACAGCCTTGAATAAGCTTTGATGCCTCAACTCAGATCACAAACACATAAGGAAGGAAGGGTGACTAATCATTGAAAGAAGTGAATGGCTTCCTACCGATCATACAACCAAAGTCTGAGGGGTGACAACGAAGTTAAGGCAGAGGCTTTAAGCGGCAAACACAGATGGTAAGCAACAGAGCTAGGCGAACAAAGTAGGGTTTTGGGAAGGCATGAAGGCATAGGGTTTGATTAAAGGGCGGAGGGAGAAGAGAAGAAAGGTTTTTTTAACAACAACAAAAAGGTGAAGAGGAAATTGGGAGGGTAATGCTTTTGAATTTATGCTGCAGGCCAACCAATAGTGCTGGCGACAGGGTTGATCGGGCGAAGGTTTCCGTGGAGTCGGGAGCCATCCACGAAGGGCGACACTTCCAATGTGCCAGCGAAGTATCGCTCGGTCGTGGTTTGCAATTCACGCATGATGACTAAATTGCCGTACCGACCGGGGAGAGCGGTAACATCTCTTGCCAACATGTCATCGATATTTTGGAACGAGAGATCGATGAATCGGAGGTTGCGACCAGTGAGCGAGACGTCGCGAAGAGGCCCATCAAATGGGATGAGAGAACGGAGAGTGTCTGAACCAAGAGACCCTGTTCCTCCTGCATATTGAGGGCGCCCATTCGAGAAGACAACTTTACGAGGCTCCGGTCCGGGAACACGGGTACCGGTGATGGCCAAGACGCGGAGATTGGAACAATACATCAAGGCGGCATCAAAGGACCGCTTGGTGAGCTTGGTGAAGCCATGAAGACGAGCTTCGACCAGAGCTGGTAAGCTTTGGAACAAGGAGATCACGGCCTCATCAGTGACCAT